AGAAGTGTAGAGAGACACGACACACATTCTGTAATTTAAATTTTTTACATATCATGCATATGCCATTACAAGTTTATTATTAATAACATATATGGGCATGCGACCTTTGTTGCCTACGAATAGGTTAAGGGGCGAAGCCCTTTGTGGGGTCTAGGGGTAGCACGACCGGTCGATTTTTTTGAAAAATAGCACCCACTATTAATGTGAAAACCCTCACTATTTGATAGCTTTTATCAACTAATCATGTTTTTGGGATTTTCAATCCCTAACATTTTTTACACTGGAACAACTATTGTTCCTCTGCCGAAACTGATTTTCCATCACAACCATGAGTTTACAATATTAACAATTAATATATAAACATTGAATCGAACAACAACAATTATAAGATTAACATTTTAATCAATGATAGTAATATTTTTTACTGGATTAACAGATTAATCGCGTCGCTCATTGATTTGAACAAAATCGAATCACATACTTACCAAAAATAGTAAAACAAACATGCATCTCATACATTTCGCATCAACCAATAATTTTAACCCAAATTTGAATCGTACACGTTACTCTGATACCACTGTTGGGACCGTTGGCGCACCCCATGGCGCAGTGAAAACAAAATGCGACGGTTATGTTAAATCTAAAATCGAGAGGAATGGATGTGATTACTTACAGTGGGTTCCTTCAAAATCAGCAAAGACAGAAGCGGTTAATGGTGATCACAAACGGTTTGAATACTAGTATCCAATAAAAATCATCTCGGCCTCTACTCAGTTCACCCAGTTGAAAAGCAATTAAGAGTAAAATATTTCTCTAAAATTGTTCTAGGAGTTTCAGAATTTTCAAAAAAGGATTAACGGCTGCTAGACCAACATATCCCTTATGTATATATGTCACTCCAGCTATTAGGGTTTTTAAATATGTATTTAATTAATATTATAATTATATTATTTTAATTAAAGTAGGTACATGTGTAATTAAAATTACACACACACACACATATATATTAATATTACATACACATTTTATTCATGTACAATCAAAGTGTACATATGTGACACATTTATAAGTTGCTCTCTTTTTTCAACCATTGGGTGTAACTCTGTAGGTTCCTGTAATATTAGTAGTAATAATTAGAACTATTCTAATATTACGAACAAGAGTGACATCTAGCAATATGTCTTTGTTACGTAACTTACAAGAAGTCACGATTCGACATAAAATGTCTGTGACTAACTCTTTTAATGTATTATATCATTTTGTCCTTTATATCTAGAATAGGCAAAAGTCTTGTAATAATAACACTTGTGTTGCTCATCTATTATTTCTTAATATCTAGAGTAGACTAAGCGAATAATTTGTGATATCTCATATTAACTTATTCAAGCATGGCCATGCATTTCTAGTCTCACTCAATCAAGTGGCCTATAATATATTTCTTATTATGTAGGAATGAAAAATCCTATCTCAATCATTCACACCCCACTACATATATCGTGATATGTTCAAATGTAAGTCTTTATAGTGCAACCAGTTACAGAGCATGTTTAACTGTATCAAAACATAAAACAATATATGTTGAGATTGTAAAGATCTCAAGTCTAAGGATTATATATAGTCGTCACTATGAGCAATATCGTGACCATCACATAATAATCCAATATATATACTCATAGCAGGTTAATCTAATATATCGTTCTCTAATAATATACTCATGTATTAATTTTGACATCTTTATGTCAATGAGAACTCATTATCATCAATCAATAACATGTTAGTCTTAAGTGTATTATTACTATCCATGCCCATAGTAATACTTGATTAAGGATCTTTTAATAATAATCACATTGATATACATACATTATTATCTTTTAGTTTATTTAATACACAAAAATAAAATAAAAGAAAACAAATGTAATGCATTTATTTGATAAATATGATAAATAAAATATGTCAATACAATCATCATATGATTGGTATTTGGGCATACTCTAACACAAAAATTTGAACATGCAAAGTACTATTATGATCTACTAAGTAGGCATCATGTTGCGACTGAGGATTTTACATCTCGGAGCTCACACACACCTCTAGCCTTTTTTAGATACCCTCTGTATCTTGGGTGAGATCTGGAGCTGCATCGGAAACATACCCCTTCCAAATCACTCCGTAAAGTCTTAGGGCATCTACGCCGAGTCAGATATTGAAATGCCTTGGCACTAACTAGATATCCACTGACTGTTGTATTCTACTAAAGGGACTCGGGTGTCCTAATTATTTCCTGAGAGTCAAACAAGCCTAGTTTTATGTAAACCTGACTGTTATTATTTCTACTGTTCTGTTATTACTTTATATTCTCTCTTGAAGTCTTATTTATTGTTATTAAAAGTATATGGGGTACCTCGAGTCTGATCCCTTAATCCTTAGATTATTTATCCAAAACTACCCATGGATACTGATATTGGCTCTTCAATATCAATACCCACCTGTTGGTATCAATACCACTTGACTGATATGGGCTACTTGGGTACGACTGTATCGATACTCTAGGTTGAGTATCGATACTCTGGTGCTAAGGTATTGATGCTTGCATGAGTATCGATACCAAAATTGGGTTCGCTGTTTCAAAATTTATCCCATTATCGATACCCCTGTGGAGTATCGATACTCATGCCTTTATATCGATTCTCTATGTGAGTATTGATACCAAAATTGTATTCTGGAATACTGGTATCGATACCAACTTGATGAGTATCGAAATCGAGATCCGAGTATCGATACTCCATGAGTAAGTATCGATGCTAACCTTTTGAAATTGCCTATTTTTTTCCTAAATAATGAATGGTGTCGATACTCTTGCTACGAGGTGCCCAGTTTTGGCACGAAAAATCCTATCTTTCTACCCCAAAAGCCCAATTAAGGTCACCAACTGATGTTTAAGTGTTTTTATTTGATATTAGGGGTCATAAAGAGTCTGTAAACATGTTAAAAACACCCAAATAATGCAATCCATCATGCTTCAAGTTCATGTAACCTACCAAATCTCACCTAATGAGCTACATATGGTAGAGTTGAGTTAAAAATAAGTTACCTTGAGTATCTATACTGCTGGAAGTGCTCAAGGCTCAACCCAAGGTAAGCTTCTCATTCCCTCTAGCTTTGGAGCTCTCTTCCTCGTCTCCCACTTAGCATTAAAGAATGGGTTACTAACTGAATTTAGAGATTAAGAAAGGTTTTAAAACACTTCTAAAGTTACTAACTGAATTTAGAGATTAAGAAAGGTTTTAAAACACTTCTAAAGGATTAAAATTTCTGGAAACGGTCTGGAATCCTTGAGTTCTCTAAAACCCATAAAAGCTCATTTTTGAAGACCATGGCCTAGGCTTGGGCTTGAGAGCTTGAATTGAAGCTTAAAGTGGGTAGATTCTGTAACTTATGTTGGAAATCCCAAATAAGGCTTGCAAACTAAAAAGTCTTAATCATTGCTAAGACTTGGTGAAGAAAGAAGTGAATAGAGAAGAAGAGAATGAGACAAACTTGTGTGGGGAAAAAGATGAGAAGAACAGACGTGATATCACTATTCTTAAATGGTTTCAGCTTTAATTTTTATCAATGGTATAACTGTTTCCTTGGTCCCTCTGATTTTGACTGCAAACTAAAAATACCATTTTTACTCCTTGTTGGGCTTAACTAAAGCCCAAATTCACTTCCATTTGGGTCAAAGCTTCCTACAAGCTAGAGAAATTAATCAAGGCCCATCTCAAATTAGCCCAAAACTCTTAACCCATGATCTGAGGCGTTACATCAAGGGCATAGATTTATACTGCCCACATCACATGGATTAGGATAGTATTTTATTACTATTTTAAAGTCTTAGTCATATTACAATAAGGACTCATTTACCCTATATAAAGGATGTTCCTCCCACTATTGTAATCATATCTTTTCTTGAATACAATACATTGAGAGTTTATTTTTGCAAGTGTTGCTTACTTGTTCCTTCGAAACTTCTTTCAATTGAGTTCTTTTCAAGTTCTTTGTGAGAGAGATCTTCATACTCTGGTTTGCCTCTTCATTGCGATTAAGAGGGATAGTTAGAGCCGATTATCGAGTTTTCCTAGTCAATTACAATTAGGAGGGTTTGTAGGACAATTATACATTGATTATCATCATCTACAACATCATCTTCATTATCCCATAGCATTCAAGTCATACATCATCATAAAACTAGGGTTTGCGTTAACCCATACCTACCGAGGAAAATTTTCAATTTCAAATTTTCCATTGATCCATTCCTATTTTCTTAATTTCGTTCGCATATCTATAATCCTTAGTTTATTTACATCCCTTGTCTTTGTTTTCCCTTCTCTCTATTTTATTCTTTCTATCTATTGTCTTAACCTTACTTTTGTCTTAAATTCCAGCAAAACTCTAATTTATATTGTCGTCGCCCACATCCATCTCTTTCACTGTCGTTCTTTGATCAATTCTAGAGCTTTCTAGGTTTGATTCCTCAACAACGAGTAACATCCATCTTCCCGCTTCCGTTCTCTATCACTTCGACACCAAAAGTTTTTAAAGGCCAATCACCCCTCTTAGCAGTTTTTGGTCGATCAGTCGAGTCCAACAAAAATGATATAGTTTCAAAAAATAGTCCTAACATCTGATTAAATAATAACTTTCACTCTTATTTTTTCTGGAGCATTTTGATCCCCAATGGAGAATGGAGATTTAGTAAGCAAACTATGGATAAACAAATATAATTATTTAAAAATATTATTCGAGTGTTAAAATATAGTTTTATTATTTTCTTCACTTAAAATTTTGCATACATGTTCAAATAAATAATGGAATCGTATTTTTATTAATAAAAGAAATGAAGAAAAAAATATATTCACAACATTGGTTTTTTTTTAATATTTTCATCAACCCACCAAACAAACACCAACAGTGGACTATAAAGCCCAAATGGTGGATTCATCAGTTTCCAACCTCCCAAATTCATATTTTATGAAGCTTGGCAGCCTTCACAACAGGATTAGCTTTGGCGATCTGTTGCTTTCCCATGGCTTTGAAATCGAAACTACAACCATGTTCTTCAGGGTACCTATGGATCCCACAAAACACCATCCCACACCTGCACTTGAACCCCGTGAACCCCACGCGTTTGTTGCAGCTCAGGCATCGGTTTGGTCTAACCTCGACCACGGCCTCCGTCGCCATCATCTCCACCTTCGTTTCCGCCGTCTGTTCATTCTTCGCCTCGAAGGGAGATGAACTCGATGTCGAAGGGATTGGGGTTCGATTAATCGCGTGTTTTGCGGAGGAAGATTGATGTTGTTTAAGCTGAAAATCACGGTGACATTTAGAACAAAGATTCTGCGTCGCGGGGTTTCCCAGTAATCCGCAGTTGTTAGCACATAATTTTGGTGCTTGACATCTATGTTCTTCCGCCATTTCTTCTTTGGATTTCCCTTCAATCAAACCTGCAAACAAATCATTCAATAAAAATAGTTTGCCTAGATAGAGAGAGAAAAAAATCAAAATCGAGAAAAAAATTTACCCCAGCCAAGTGGAGGGAGAGGTGGGAAATGGGAATGAAATGAGAAATCAGAAACTGAAGCCTCCCATCCATTCCCTTTTTAACAGCAGAAAAGGAAGATCAATTTCTTCCTAAAAATACCAGAGGTTGAAGGGATTCGTGGTTGTGGCTCAAAATCCCATGTTCTTTTTCTTAAACATATTTAAACAGTTATACCTAAAATCAAGGATAAACTATGCCTCTAGTATCTAAACTATTTTTTTTGTTCGATTTAATATTTAACCTTTAATTTTTTTAAAATCATATTTAATGTTTACTTTTTGTTTTATTTTAGTATCTCACTGTTAACGAGTTTCAATTTTTTTCCATAACTTAACGTTAAATTTTGAACGGATACTAAAATGAAACAAAAGCTAAACTTTAGGTATGATTTTAAAAAATTAAAAAAAGTTTAGGTACTGAAACAGAGTAAAACTAATAATTTAGTTACTAATTACATAATTTACCCTAAAATAACAATTTGGATTGAATTTTACCAAAATATATATATTAAATTCCCACAATTTCGTTAAACCAAGAATCGAAGAAGTATTTTTTGTTTTTTTTAGTAAACTAAGGTGATTACAAGTTATTATATGTTTTAAAAATTCTCAATTATTTGAAAATGAACACTCAATTATTCTGCTGCAGTCTCTGATGTTCGAATCCGTAAACTCTAAGAACAACAATAATTTATTTAACTACTGAAATAAATTAATTCGTGCAATTGGAATAAGTAATTAAGGTTCTTCAATTATATCCAAATTAATAAAATTATTGATGTCGAAGATCATCACATAATTTATATATTGAATATTGATTTAAATTAAGATTATAGATATATTTTCGATAATACTATGAACATAATACATAATATTACAATTAAAATATTAAATTATAACAAACATATAAATATTGAAATCGAAAAATATAAAAAAAAATAACAACAATAAATTTTATTCTATTATATTTTAATATACAGTTGCCTCGTTAGAAAAACCACTCTTGAAAATGAAGAGCGGAAGAGTACACCCATAAAGAATTAAAATATATACATTATATTGAAAGAATTTAAAAAAATAGATTAATAATTCGAATATTGATAGTAATATCAAAAGAATGAATTATATTGATTGTAGAAACTTATTCTGGCCTCTCCTTGTCTCTCTGATTGAAGGCATTTCGAAACTGGTAACAAGCAAGAGTCATCCGCTGACCACCGATGCTGTTATATAATACCTAGAGCCACTGCCTTTGAGCTGGTGAGCAACGTCTTTGACCAAGGCATTGTCGACGTTTTCAGAGCTGCTGCTTATTCATACAAATATTAAAATTAGAAAATTAATGTGAGAACAAAACGTATATCTATATAGCGAGAAATCAAAGCAAACAGCAAAGCAGTGGTTCGGGCAATGTATTCAGGAGCATCGCGGTAGAACATCGACAGCACGTCATTCACAAACTCAGGGTTTCATCCATTTTGCAGCGATCTCAAGTGCTCGTAGTTATGGTCCAGTATGCCCTATACTCACAATCAATTTAATTTCAGAATAACTGAAGTCCATTATCAATCAATATTCATATCTTATAAATTTTACATCTTTAGACCGTTAAGATTCAAATATAGATTTTTTTTTTTATGAAGGAGAACAAATACAAAACCTGATCATGCATATTCTGGACATAAAGCTTGACCTGCTGAGCAAGAGTGGGCCCCGGCATTTCTTCTTCTTGCTTTCTTGCAAAGTGATAGATACAAAAACCAGTGTGTGTGCACATATAAAGAGAAACGGAGTGAGCGTTTCACTTTGAAAAGATTAACATTAGTTTCAATTCTCTTTAGCTTTTACGCCATTTGTCATGAGAGCTCTGGAACAAGAAACAGAGAATCCTATTTATCTATTTTAAAAAATGTTTTATTAGCTGATAATAATGAAATCTAAACTGGCAGTGTTGTACTGATTTGGTTAGTGTGCTCAACAGTTAAAATATTAAATGACAGTATGATATTTACCATATACTATGTGTCACCAAGCTTCTTAAAACAGCCCCACTAGATTATAAGGATTTTTTTTATTAATATAAGGTGATTATTTGTTCTAAAGATTCATAACTATTTAACCAATGAACGTTCAAATATCGTGTAATCGTTGCTGTTCGAACCCATGATCTCTAAAGATAACAATTATCCCTTTAACAACTAAAGTAGTTTGGTTCGCACATAATAAAATATAAAAATTAGTAGAGGTAGCAATTCTAATTCTTAATGTACATATACGGACATAATCCAATTAAACTGTGTAAAACTATTATAGTTTTATACATTTTTAGGATCATTGGATGCAAGAAATTAAATGTTAAGATTAACAATAGAAAATGGAAATATATTCATTGGAAAAAGAATAAGGAGTTAATCTCAACCTTTGATTTCCTTCGATCCAACGATCGTAAAAATGTGTAAAGCTAAAAGGTATAAGTGGGTCCTAACTCATATGTATATATCATCCATTTACGCTATGTAAAACTAATAAGTTTCACAGTAATTTATAGCCATTAGATTTAATTAAAATTTATAACCTCAAAATAAATATTTCTTTAACTGAATGTAAAACAATATTTTTTTCCTTTTTATGATTAGGGTTTGGGTTTAGGGTTTGAGTAGGGAATTTTGGGATTTAAAGTTTTAGATTGTTGTAAAAAGATATTGTTTTACTGTGAGAAATATTTATTTGAGGTTTAGGAAGTTAAAGATATATTTATTTATAGGTTATAAATTTTAATTAAATCTAAATTTTTTATTTATTTAAATCTAATAGCTATAAATTAGTGTAAAATTATTAAAACCCGTAATCGCAACGACCCAATTGCAAGAGCGGAGCTCTACCAAATGAGCTATATCCCCCGAGTCAAGTGGAGCATGCATGAAGGAGTCAGATGCTTCTTCTATTCTTTTTCTTGGCGCAGCTGGGCCATCCTGGACTTGAACCAGAGACCTCGCCCGTGAAGTAAATCATCGCACCTATGGTCCAACCAATTGGGAGAGAATCAATAGATTCCTTTTCGGGAGCGATTCATCCTTCCCGAACGCAGCATACAACTAAAGCCATAGCTACCGGAGGAAGCTGTTTCGCAACCAGCGATGCTTCTAGTAGTTGCTTAAGTCCGTGTATGCTCTATGTGTCGCACACGAGTGTTAAACACGTATACTTAAAGAGAAATTAAGGCATACCCTAAAGAGCAACAGTTGGCAGAAGAGGTGGCATGGGGATGTCCTCATCAGATTTCAGTATGCTCCTGATCATTTAGAAGATTATACAGGTAAGCAAATACTTTAACAACAGTAGACGCTATTAAAAAAGCTACATTAATCCAACAAAGGTGCATAGATACAGAGTGTTTCGTGAGGGACACGTGTTCATTTATTTCTTGTCTTCTCCTGTTCTTTGTATGTTTGTAATACTCCGATTACCGAAGCTTTAAACTTCTGATACGGTGTCATTCGTCAAATGGTCCTGACTTCTTTTTTTCTTCTGCCATTGCGTTTCTCTTTGTTTTCATCAATTAATCCTTTGATTATGCTCATGTCTCATCTGAAGGTTGTTTCTTGTGTGTCTTGCCCTAATTCTTTTTCTCTCGTTGGTAAGTTTATGCGATTTTATCAATATTTCTTCTTCTCGTCGGAAGTTTGATTGTCGATTGTGAGATCTATTGCTCAATTGATGTTTTTTGATTTCATTGTTAGTTTTCTATGTGATTTCATTGATCCTATTGAAGACACCTAATTTCGTCCTGTTGATTAATAATATTATATAAATATATTTTATTATAAACTATAGTACATGATATACATATTCACATTTATTTTATTTCTGTATCATGCCCAAAATCGAATTACACGTGGCTCAGCAGAACCCAGCCGCACCAGACCAGAACACGCAGGCAACCCAAGACCAACATACGCAACCCGTCTGCAACTCGAACTGACCCACTTGTGTCCGACCCAACATGAAACCCTAGGGCAGATTAAGGTTTTTGATGTTCCAGTCGCTTTCCACCTCTCACCCCAGCGCCGCACTGTTCGAAGCCCCCACATCCGGAGTCCTCGTGCCACACGTAGCTAATCGGTTGATTTTCTCGGCGTTGTGGTTTCATGGAAATAACCAAAAACAAGTCAGTCCCATGGGACTCTCAACAAACCAGAACTAGAGAGCAATTTAAACGCAACTAGGACTCCTAAAAATAGGGTATTTTGTGTACTATAAATTAATGTAATCACCACACAAATATCACAAAAAAGTAGAGAGGAGACTACACTAGAAAAAAATACTACGAAATACACAAAGTAATCGAGGCATTTTGTAAGAGCTTTTTGCAAAGGAAATAAATTAAAGGTATTTTATTTTCTTACCTTTTCATTCGTGTTGCCCTTGCATGTTGATTTGTGCTTGAGATTTGACTCGAAAACGACCAAAAATCGATCGCCGATGACAAAAGGGGGTGTTCAGATCTTTGAACCTAGATCTACCCCCGAGGCTTACTTTTTTTTTAGAAATTTTTTGATTTCTTGAAAATAGGAGGGAAAAACTTTCGAATTTTAAAAAAAGAAAAGAATTTTTCGTCGTCGATGACCGGCGGCCGATGAGGTGGCTATGGTGGCCGGAATCTGGAATTTGGCCCTGGTTTTCATTTCTGAAGAACATGCGAGAGGAAATGAAGAGCATGGGGGGGTTTCGGTTGAAAATGTGAAATGAAGCTTAAAAAAAATTGGTTGCCTTTTATAATTAGCCCATACTCGGTTCCAACTAGCGCTCTGACCCGAACCATAACCTGAGGATCCGTGCGTTTTCGCTTCTAAAGAGGGCAAATTCGGTTTTTGTCCCCCTGAGTTGTAATTTTCTTATTTTAACCCCCAAATCGATTCTAAGCCCGAATATTTTCTCAAATTGACCCTTGAATTTGACTCTCCTTTCAATTTAATCCTTTTATTATTATTATTATTTTTGGATTTTATTTTATTTTATTTTATTTTTTTATTTTTTATATTTTTTATATACCTTATTTATACGTTATTATTATATATATACATATTTTATTTTTATAACTATTAGTACGACTATT